TCTCGGTCGGGCCCATGCATAGCAATCTGATGGTAGCCGCGGTAGGCGTTCAAGAAACTGAGCCTGTTATGTCCAGCCATTAAATCCACAAGCTGGTCTATTCTAGGCAGAGGGAAGCTGTCTTTCGGACAAGCTCGGTTGACGGTCTTGTAGTCTACGCAAACTCGCTACTTCCCATTCTTCTTGGGCACCACGACCGTGTTTGAAATCCACCGAGGGTAGTGCACTTCCTGAATTGCTCGCGCCTCAAGCAAGTTCTTCACTTCCTCGGCAACTACCTCAGCGTGATACAGCGCCGATCTCCTTGTGCGCTGAATGACCGGCATTGCTCCAGGGAAGACATTGAGATGATGGCATATAAAACTCGGATCTAGACCGGGCATGTCGTAAGGTGACCATGCGAAGACTTCGATGTTGGCCATCAAAAATTCAACCATGTCGGTCCTTTCTTAGGCTATAAGGGTTGAGTCAAGCAAGAAGAACTTGTCTGGATGCTCTGTATCAATGCGCACTTCCACCAATTCCTCGACAGCTTTGTCCTCGGCCTTGGTGCCCACATCGTCAAGGACTTCTCGGTCTTCCGGTCCCTCAATCATTTGAACGAAGCCTTTGGCAGCTCGGCTCCCGTTGACCACCACGAAGCATTGCTTCGACATGACTTGATCGCCCCAAATCTCCTCGATTGCCCCTATAACCGAGGGAAATCTCATCACCTGATGATAGGTCGACGCTACGGCTTGCATAGCGTGAAGCCATCGCCTTCCAAGGATCAAATTATAAGTTGATGGCACCTGCAACACCTAGAACTCCACTTGTTTGACCACGGATCCCGCTTTGACTGGCAAGATAATCTTTCCCAAAGGCCACTCCGGTTGTGAGTTGAAACCAACCAGTGGCGAAGTTACCGGGGCCAAATCTGTATCCCGGAGCTTGAGCTGTTTGAAAGCGTCGTAGTACATGATCTCGACCGAGCTTCCCTGATCGATTAAGATCCGTTTGACATCAAATACTTTGACGCGGAGTGTAACCACTAGGGCATCGTTGTACGGCGTCTGAATGCGCTCCAGATCTCTTGAGGAGAATTTGATCACATCTTTCTCTTCGGTCTTCCCCCTCTTGATCGCAGGCTGAACCGACAAACTTCCCTCACGTGTTCTGCCTACCTCGGAGCTCGCATACACGCACCGGTTCCACTATGCCGTGGATGACATTAACAACCCCTTGTGGAGGCGCATCTCGGTCATCCGGTCCCCGTGGGTCAACCGGAGCTTGATTGGCCTTCATGCCCCCATCAATGTAAAGGTCCAGGTGTTCGGCTGCGACTAGCTCTTCCAAGTGTTGCTTCAAAGGCAAACAATCCTCTGTCTGGTGGCCTCGCTCTCGGTGAAAAGTGTAATGGTACCTCGGATTGAAGCCCTTCTGTCCGTCGCCTAACTTAGCACGAAACCGGACATACTCCTCGTCACGGATTTCACTAAGTATGTGATAGATTGAAATCTTAAAGACCGTGGTGATACCTGTCCTTGCTTTCAACCTTCTGTTTGCATCGACTACGTCATCTCGGGGGTAGTCATCCCGGTCATTCCGACGTCCCCTATCCCGGTTTTTGCGATTAGTGCCACAATCCGATTCTTCAATGCGGTCGTTGGATCGGCCGGACTCCTGCCCGACCGCGTGCACTTTGCCAGCTGACCTCTTGTCCGCTACTACCGGAGTTATTTTTGCGCTAGATGCCGACGCATCATCCTCCACACAGATGTGCTCATTGATGCGTTGCATTAGCTGGCCCATAGATGTCGGCTGGTGCATGATAAGCGAGTCCCGCAGTCTATGTCCGACCGGGAGACCTCGCTTGTATTGTGTGATTGCAAGGTTGACCGGGCAATCCAAAATCTTGTTGAAGGTCTCCCAATATCTGTAGTTGTATGCCTTCAATGTGTCACTGGGTTCCATTTTAACACTCAGTAGGTGGTCAACTTCCTTTGGTGTTTTCGTGTTGGTTTTGAAGCGCGTCACAAAGGCCTCGGCCAACTGATACCACCTTTCTATGCTCCCCCCTAGTAACCTCTCGAACCATTTCAAGCCCAGTTCGCCTAAACTTGACGGGAAGATGAGGTACATAAGTGCGTCATTCCGCCTATGCCCGGCCATGACCTATCGGAAGTGACTCACATGCATGTAGGATCGGTTTTCCCGTCGTAGAGTGTGAATTTAGGCTGGTGGAAGCCTGCCGGAAGCGGTATCGTTTCTATCTCCAAGGAAAAAGGGGTGGCACTCAGCCTTGCCAAGTATGTATCTAGAAGGAGTAGCGCTGCTTGGCGGTGTGGAGGCATTCCAACCTCCTCGCTGGCGTGAACCCCATAGGATAGCCGCTGGAACGCCGGCACCCTCTGAGTCTCCCGCTGGCGAGCTCGTTCCTTTAAGACTGCCCGCAAATCCTCTGAACGAGCGGAACAAGAATACCTTAACGTCGTCGCCGGATGTGAGGGTCGATAGGTGCTGTCTTGCGCGTTGGACTTCTCTTCGTGCAGGTCGGAATCTCCAACCTTGTAACTTCTGGTGATGGAAATGGACGCAGTGTGTCGCTGACTCTGACTGCCTGAACGGCGGGGTTGGGTGCGCTCATTGTGGTCTCCTACTCCAGCTACACCCTTCCCTTTAACATGCCATTTCAGCTCCTCCGTCTCCGCCGCCATTCGCCGGATGACAGCATCCTGGTCCCTTAACTTGTGTTCCAGACGTCTGGCATGTGATTCTCTCCGCCGCTGATGACCGTCTGGACTCCGTGAATGACCATAACTTCTTCCGCGCTTATCCCGCGCATCTCTTGAATGTCCTCCTGGAGAAGTCTCCAGGTCTGCCATCGGAGGAACGATGGTGGGATGCCCTTCTCTCCGTCTGCCTGACTCCGGGGTGACTCCGTCGATGGCAGACAACGGAATCTCGTCGTTGTTCGCCATGGCCGGCGATCAGATGAGCCTGGAAGACAAGGTTTTGTCTATCAAGTTTCCTACAGATGGCGCCAATTGTACGGGGAGCAAATATTCAGGCAAGTCTGTATTCCTTTCTTCCAAGCTCCGTTTCTGTCCGATCACCTGCGAGCACAACGGCGGTGAGCTACCCGGCGGTGTGTGGCCGGAAAACCCCTCCGACGATCAAGTTAGACACACACGGGGATAGAGAGGGAGAGAAAGGAGGGTGTTGGTGTTTCTCTTACCAAATGTTCATCTGCCCCAGCATGGGGGGCGCAGAATTGCTTATATACCTTCTGCGCCCCAAATCTACTCACATTTGTCTCTCGACACGTGGTGCTGCTATCCCATCTGTCAGCACAAATCTTGCTGAACATCACCTAACCCGACTGCCAGCCCACTGTATTAGGAGCTCTGCAGCCGGGCTGTAGCATCTCGGTTGTCAACGGCCGTGCTGCGATTCATGCCCAGGTGCCCCCAACAACTGAGCTCCTTTCCAGCCATGCTCGACTGCATTCCGGTGAAGCCAAGCTTGAGATTAGTCATACCGGTCAACCAAAGTCCTTCTTGCCGAGCTTCAGGCATGAGCCTTCACGCCGAGCTATGGATGCGTGCTTTCCAACCGCGCAACGCATAAACCGTAGAACCCTTACTTGACCGGCCTTTGTGCCGACAAGGTGAAGTAGCTCGGTTCTACATGCCCTTGCCATTGCCGAGCAAAAATCACTTTTGGTTGGACCCGGGATACCACGGCCCAAATGTGTTCGGCCCACAATTTGCCTGGTATTACCATGGCCCAATCCAGACCATATTTTTCCCTCTCAAAACCAAAAACTAAAAAAAGGAGAAAAGAAAAAAAAAGAAGAGGGTGGATGGATGGATTGTGGATGGATTCGTAAGTTATTGCATGCGCTGATCAACCGGTGAGTCAACCAGCCGGACGTCCGGTTGCCCCACTTGCAACGTTACAGCACAATGAAATAGTGAAGGCTTACTCGGATCCTCAGTTTGATGAAAATTTTGCTCCGTTCTCGATTTAATATTAGTTTGATGAAACTATTGGAGGGAAAAAAATGACTTTTTTCATCAAATTCAAATTTGATGCTGCATCTGATGCAACGTTGGAGATGGTCTTAGTTTTCAGTTTGATGAAAGAAAAGTGAAATTCTGAATCTAATACGTATTTGATGAAATCGTTATAGTAAAAAAAAAAGCTATTTTTCATTAAATTTAAATTTGATGACAATTTTGAATAACTATTATAGATGATGTGATAACTTTTTACTAAATGATATTTATAGAAATTTTAATAAAATTTTGTCGCTAAGGGATTGCTTAGAAACTACTAAAATATATTTTTTCTAATTATTTTGGAATTACATCACCTCTATAAGGAGTTTTTTGGAGACTATTAAAAAGTTTTTTTTTTATTTTAATATTTTTTAAATCATATTATTTTTTTATAAATAATAAAAAAATATATTTATTTGATATTTTTCAAAGAAAAAAAAGAAAGGATTTCAATGATATTTTTTAAAAAAGTATTTAAAAAAATTATGTTTGATAGTAACAGGATGGCTCAAACTTAGGAGTGAGGATTCTCTCCTTGCAGCTTCTTCTGTGCTTGCGTCCGTCCTTGCAGGCTTTCGGGTTTACTTTTAGGCCCAATTTTGATAATCCGAACCGTTTATATTTTATGATTTATTCAGTATATCATACCTGTAAAAAATCAAGTTGATCGGATATCAGAAAGTATATGTTCGGAAAACTGTTTATTAAATTCTTTAAAAAATAGTGTTTAGTTCAATTTTTCAAACACATACTTTCTGATATCCAATATACTTGATTTTTTACAGGTATGATATACTGAATAAATCATAAAATATAAACAGTTCGAATTATCAAAATTAGGCCTAAAAGTAGACCCAAAGGCCTGCAAGGACGGACGCAAGTACAATCTTGCAAGGAGAGGCTCTTGACTCCAAACGTAGATATTCTGTTTTGTGGTCTCTATGATTACTGTACTTTCCAAACAACTTCAGGCTTGTAACATATAGCCAAAAACCAAGAAAACAATCATTCATTTTATTTTCTCAACTCTACCATGTCGCTAGCCAGTCCGCCTCCAGATGATTGCAAATCTGCACGTTAGACGTGAAATTAAAAAAAAAGAGGCATCGCGTAGATCGATTTTTCCCAGTAGATAAACAGTAATTTTCCAATCGGGACGTACGTTTGGTTGCCAAGAAAATAAGCTAGAATCCGAACCTCGCATTCCATACACGCGTCTGCTTCGAATCTCCTGGATCGCCGTGAGAAAGATCCGGAGCCAATTCAATTAGGTCATTGATTTCAGAGTTTTCCACTTCACCGTCTTCAAAAACTCAAATCTAACAGACTCGTATGTAGGTATTGAGATTACGAGGAGGAATTGAAATGTCGGGAGGCGAATTCAGAGATCACGACATTCTGTTGGGGTCGAATTCGTCGGCTTCGGAGAGCGATTTGGAAAGTCAAGGATCTCATAAGAGTAATAGACGAATTGAAGATCTGTTGAAGCGATTGGATCGAGGGTTTTCGGGACGCCGACTCAGCATCAATCGTTCGGATTGGGAAGATCACGGCGGAGATGCCGTACTCGGCGACGGCGCTCCGCCGGAATGGGCGTTGCTGCTCGTTGGCTGCCTTCTTGGTCTCGCTACGGGTCTTTGTGTTGCTGCCTTCAATCGTGGAGTGAGTCATTGCTTGTTTTCCATTTCTGCTTTATTGAATTTGGATTTGAATGGCTTGTATCGTAGCAAAATATATATATATATATATATACACTGAAATTGTTAATGATGTCCTAAAAATGGAAATTAATTACTCTAACTAGGTAATTTTGGTTGATCTAGATCTCTTGCTCTTGCTATTGATGATGACTTTTGGTGTACATTATATTTGTATATAGTTAATGAGTTATGCTAGTGATCCCTAGACAGATGGAGGGGTTGGATCTTAGTTGGTTGACAACTGACATGTAACAATCCATGTGAAGAATAAATTTAGAGGTTTTGAGCATTTTCCATAGTGGATATGGCATATGTGGAAAATTGAGCTTCGCTCAAGTGGTTGTATTGTACCCCTTGGTTTTTAAGGGGGAGGTTCAGGTTGGAGCTTATGGAGAAGCATTGAATGCCCATTAGTTTACTAACTGGCTAATATCCTACTTTGACCCCAAAAAAACAAAAAGAAAAAAAAAAAGGCATATGTGGTTGGTTGACATGCAAGCCTCGCAAATCAAAGGAAAGATTGCTAGGTGAGAAAGAAAATGCTAGCTTTGTGCTATAGAAGCTAAATAATGAGAGCAGGAGGGAAATAGGCATAGAATAAGTGGAAGTAATAGGTGATCATCTGAATAAGTCGAAGTAAGGGGTAGGATTAAAAATGAATGCATCTAATAATACTGACTATTGGTGGATTGTGAGAACTGTTGGATGCAATGGTTGCTGCAAGTCACAAAGTGTGCACGGAGTGCTGGAAAATCAGGTTTGTGAGAGGCTAGAAGGGGGTATGAAATGTCATTTTCCTATTTTTATTATATAATAACATGCATAAAAGGTACATAAATATGTAGCTTGTCCTAGCCGCGTAGTGCCCTGCTTTTTAAAGATTCACTGTGTTGGTGTGTTTGTGTCCCATACCAGTGTCTATGCTACATAGATTGGCATCATGTTGATCTTACTTGGCATTTTTGTGGGTGCAAAGGGCAATGTAAAAAGGAGGGAGAGTTCAGATATAGGGGTATTTTTGTCATATTCAGTGGGTTTATATAAACCCCTTCATTGCATGTTTTGGTTGAGTATCTTTCAGATTGAAGGAAAATAAGATGAGAGGCTTTTGTAATGCTATTCCATCTCAGATTGTGGACGCATTAGCCTCTGCCCTATTGATTTAGGAATGCTATCAAGCCATGTAAGTTTTGTTGTCTCATGTGTGTGCTTGATCAATTCTTTACGAGTTTCATGGTTGATCCTTTGGTCACTTTTCTCATCCTTACGTGTTTGAGCATGAGTTGCTCACTGCAAATTGCTTCTTTGACATTTGCTGACACCAAAATATCCATATATGTATTACAGGTACATGTAATACATGAATGGGCTTGGGCTGGTACTCCAAATGAGGGTGCTGCTTGGCTCCGTTTACAGAGGCTAGCTGATACTTGGCATCGGATACTTTTAGTACCTGTTACAGGAGGCGTTATTGTTGGAATGATGCATGGCTTACTCGAAATATTAGACCAAATAAAGCAGTCCAATTCTTCTCAAGAACAGGGTTTTGATTTGCTTGCTGGAGTTTTCCCCACTGTAAAAGCCATCCAGGCTGCTGTTACATTAGGTACTGGTTGTTCACTGGGACCTGAGGGCCCTGATGTAGATATTGGAAAATCATGTGCCAATGGATGCTCTCTAATGATGGAAAACAACAGGGAAAGGAAAATAGCTCTTGTTGCGGCTGGTGCAGCTGCTGGGATAGCTTCAGGTAATCAGATTATCTTGTTCTAGTATTTCACCATGTACATGCTCTTTTATTTTCTTGTTCTCGAAATTGCCTTTGAATGAGCATTTCTTCTTGCAATTGCTTTTGAAATTAGCTTCTTCTTCTTCTTCTTTATTTTCCCACTAGCCTTGGGAACCCCACCTAAGGGTCAACTTTGGGTCAAGGCTACTCCTAAGGATTTCATTTGCACTTGTGATCAATCAGGAGGTCCTGTTGTGGCAATCTCATTGTAAATCGAACCTTTTCTCTTTCTCGTCATCAAGTGCACCCAAAAGTAGGTGCCTAAGACTTATAGTTGGGCGATCTGGGACATCCACAACATGAAGCAGTGTGAGGGCTATTAGAGTGTTTCTTTCATGTGGATGCATGATTCTATGATTATATTGTGATGTCCTTAAGTTTTTTTTTAAATAGTATGGGTATTTCCATTCTGCTTCATTTTGTGCCTAATCTTTAATCTGCTTGCCACTGGCCTCTCTTTGTCCTTTTGATTTGTAATTCTAAGAACTATGACCTCGCAGATGGTGTTCATTTTTGTACTGGTATTTTTATTTCTCTGGTGTTTGATATATAATAGATTTTTTTTTCTTTGGACAACTCAGGTTTCAATGCAGCAGTGGCCGGTTGTTTCTTTGCTATTGAAACTGTTTTGAGGCCTCTTCGTGCAGAAAACTCTCCTCCATTTACAACTGCCATGATAATATTAGCATCCGTTATTTCATCTACAGTATCAAATGCTGTACTTGGGGAGAAACAGGCTTTCACAGTGCCAACGTACGATTTGAAATCTGCTGCTGGTATTTTATCTCTTTCCTGTTCAATTATCATAACTCGATGACATCTCTGTGTGCATACATTTATGTTTGATTGTTCGCATACTTCTTGAAATAATTGTACAGTTATTGAAGAAATTTTTTAAAATGCAGTTGCTTCTAATTTACTTTTGAAGAATTTAATCATCCTTACTGTATTGAGGGTAGAAAAAATTGCTTTGCCCTGATATTGGATCGCTTGGTTATTCCATTTGTTCAATTGTTCTGAGTTGTGACATCATGTATATAAGGCCCCGTTTGTTTTGGGGTGTAATGGATGGGTGGGGATTAGGATGGAGGTAGGGTTATTTAGTATTGTGTTTGTTTGTAGAGTTGGGGAAGGGATTAGGATGGAGGAGGGGATTAAGATGGAGGTTGGAAGGGGGATTAGGATGGAGGAGGTGGAGGTGGAGGTGGAGGTGGTATTAGAAAAATAGTGAGGGGATTAGAATTTTTTTTTATTTTTTACCTATTGAGAATTTTTTTTTTAAATATTAATGTTTAATTTTTTATATTTTTTTGTTTGTTTTATTATTTTATATAAAAATAATTTAACAATTTTTACACTAACAACTATCATCAAAATAAACACCATTTTACTTAATCCCCTCACTATCAATCCCCTCACTTTAGGATGGAGGTAGGGTTATTTAGTATTGTGTTTGTTTGTAGAGTTGGGGAAGGGATTAAGATGGAGGTTGGAAGGGGGAGTAGGATGGAGGTGGAGGTGGAGGTGGTATTAGAAAAATAGTGAGGGGATTAGAATTTTTTTTATTTTGTACATATTGAGAATTTTTTTTTTAAATATTAATGTTTAATTTTTTATATTTTTTTATTTGTTTTATTATTTTATATAAAAATAATTTAACAATTTTTACACTAACAACTATCATCAAAATAAACACCATTTTATTTAATCCCCTCACTGTCAATCCCTCACTAACAATCCCCTCACTATTAATCCCTTCACTATGAATCCTCCCCATTCTACCTTTGAAAACAAACGGGGCCTAAGGTTGCATTGCATTCCTTCTCGCATCTTTTTTAATCGATACATTTAGTTGTCCCAAAAACCAAAAACAAAACATTCCAAGTTGTGACGTGGGGAGATGATTAGAATTTATGTTTTCAGTTATGAACTTACATTGGCAATTTAACTGCAGGCACTTCATCCTTTTCCTGCCGTTAATCTTAGACAACAATTTAGCTGATATGGGGAGGAAGAAGCAGATTGGTTATTTATACACCCCCCAGTATCTTAGTGTAAAACTTATCCCGTCGAATGAACTGTACAGTCTGTAAAGTTAGTGAGTGCAAATCTGAGCACTAAATGCTTGACATGATCTATTCTGCTTAACTTTCTCTTATATTATTCTCTTTTTTCAGTGGATATTTGGTTTTCAACATATGGCTCATCGTTGCTGTGCTAAATGCTAAGATTTGGGCTGTGTGTGTGTTGTAGTGTTGGTCACATAAACATTAAGCAGAAAAATTGTATAAAAGCTTCATTGTTCAATTTTTGGTGTGGGTAAATAGTTGGATTATTTTATCCCATTTACTTGGTTGGCTATATAGATCCATTCCCTCCAATTGATATTATTTGAAGTTATATCCTTGCTTAAGTTTAAGTTGATCATGTGGATCAAATCACTCCTCTTTACATGCGTGTTAATTGATCTACGATGAACATGAGTATACCATCTTAAACGACTTCTCCGCATTTTGTGTTCAATCCATGCCACTTTTGTAATTAAACATGCGAACTAAATTATCTGTGCACTTCGAACACAAAGTAATTATATCTGCATAATTCTCTGAGTAGCTTACGTTTTATAGATTTATGGTGATCTACTCTCCTGATTATACACTGCTGTTTCCTTGCAGAACTACCTTTATACCTGGTATTGGGTATGTTATGTGGGGTAGTAAGTGTAGTATTCACTCGCCTGGTAAATTGGTTCACTGAGGCCTTTGAGTTTATCAAGGAAAAATTTGGCGTTCCTGCTGTTGTGTGCCCTGCTTTGGGGGGTTTAGGAGCAGGGATAATAGCTCTTAAGTATCCTGGAATACTCTACTGGGGTTTCACCAATGTTGATGAAATTCTTCATACTGGAAAGAGCGTTTCAGCGCCTGGAATCTGGCTGCTAGCTCAATTAGCAGCTGCTAAAGTTGTTGCCACAGCTTTGTGCAAGGGGTCTGGGCTTGTAGGTGGGCTGTATGCACCAAGTTTGATGATAGGTGCTGCCGTGGGTGCTGTATTTGGTGGTTCAGCTGTAGAACTAATCAATTCGGCCATGCCAGGAAATGCTTCTGTTGCCCAGCCACAAGCATATGCACTGGTAAGTGGTCAGCGTGTTTCTACTTAAATAGGCATTAATTTGCTTGTACAAGTAATAATTTGTTTGCGTCATTTTATTGATTGGTTAAGTTCGATTATTATTGATGCATATTTATATTTCCTAATCACACTTCAGGTTGGAATGGCTGCTACATTAGCTTCAGTTTGTTCAGTACCCTTGACGTCAGTTTTACTTCTGTTTGAGCTGACAAAAGATTACAGGATCTTGCTTCCTCTCATGGTAATTCCTTCACAATCTTGCTTTGTAAAGATTGATTTGCACTTGTTGATGCGTGTGTGAGTGTAAAAGACCAGCTTTTCTGATGAAGCCAGATCAAGGCAACATGTGTAATGGTTTCTTGTCAAAGAAAAGGGCAATACATGTTGTGTTTAGATCCACATTAGCTGGTTTGTAGTTGTGATGTTTTATGTACCAACCTTAATTCCGTCTCTTCTAACAGATGGTTCCAATCTAGCTAAACTAGCTTCTCTAGATCGCTGCTGCATTTTAAACTTTATTCTACTAGATGGATTTATTCTGCACATTGGAAAAGTAATACTGGTTTGATTGCTCTTGGTTTTGAACTTTTCATGCTTATTCTAAGCATTGATGGAAAGTGAAGAAAACATTATTTTTTGAACAATTTTATTCCAATGTAGCCTGATGTTTTTCAAAATTCAATAGTTGATTCTCTTGATTGAAAATAAATAAGTTAAAGAAAGAAAAAAGAGTGAAAAGGAAAGGAGAAAACGATGTATTACGAGGAATGGAGGAGATGATAGAAAATTATTAGAGAAAGAGAGAAGGTGACTAGGGAGTGGAGGTGTTAGAAAATAATAGATGGATTAAGAGAGATTAGGAAAATTGTGTCCGTGTAGCTAGACTTATTGATAATTATGAAAAGCATAGTTGACGAGAAGAGAAAGATGAAGTATAGTTGTTAATAGTATTGTTCATCTTTGGGCTGCTCTGTTTTGTGGCTTATAGTAAGAAGTCACTACCAAAAAGTCAACTCTTCGCTCTACTTTTCTGCTCGTCTTTTCGTAAAAAGTTAAAAAGCTAACTAAAAAGCTAATTGCCAAAACAACTCTAAAACTCCTGACAATGACAATATCATTGTAAGGCTTGTAATTAAGCATATCGATTTATAATAATGTTTATGGAGGTTAAAGCAGAGTGAGGCATGGTTTGTAAAGTTGGCAAATATAACATATCTTTCTGACATGTGTTCTGCAGTCCACAATTTCACTGCTTGATTTAATGCTCTTCTGTTTTAAATTTTTGCGAGCAGGGGGCTGTTGGGTTAGCAATATGGGTACCCTCTGTGACAAACCAGTCCAAAGAGACCGAGGCATCTGATAAAAGGAGCTTGAATAGAGGCTATTCTGCTCTCTCACCCACTGAAGACAAAAACGAGGTTACCTGGAGACAAGCTGAAGGTGGAAATAATTTAGAACTCCGTGTTATAGGAAACGGTGAAAACCAAGAAGCAGTCGATGAAGACATTATTCTAGAAGATCTGAAGGTTTGTTTTTTATTTTTTCCAATCAGAACTGGTTTAGGATATGGGAAAATTATTGAATAGTCCCTACTTGGTGCTCCTGGCCAATAGAAAACCGCAACATACACTATGTGGGTCATTCCTTGTATGCTACCTACCTAACAAGGTGGGTCAATATTGTTCAACCTGTGAAGTTTCCACTATGCCATTGGTTGAGCACCATGTGGACAATGCCACGTGGTACTCTGGGATCACCCAATAATTACCCTAGAATTTTTTTTCTTATGCTTTTAGATTCTCATTTTTTTGGTTGGATCATGCTTTTTGTTATCTTGTAGTTTCATATGTTGCTCAACTTCCGCCACTGTACTTGCTGTGATCAGGTTTCTCAGGCCATGTCAAAGAAATATGTGAAGGTTTCACGGAGTCTAACATTGAAAGAGGCCCTTCAGTCTATGCATGACAATGAACAGCATTGTGTGCTAGTGGTTGATGCTGAAGATTTCCTAGAAGGAATTTTAACATATGGTGACATCAAACGATTTCTGTCAAAGAAGTCTGGTGATGCTTTGGATGGTGATTCATCACTTCACGATGTATGTAGTAATGTCAATTGATATCATTCTTCTAGTGTACGTCCACTTTGGTGATTTTTTTATGATGTGAAGTTCTATCACTGTCTTCTTTCCTGATTCTTTTATCAATGCCTAAGAGATGATCTTACCCTCACATTTTCTCCCCTTTTATAAAATTGATTAAACATGAGTTCTTGACAGGTAAATACATGCCTTGTTTCTTCTATATGCACTAGAGGGATAAGCTATCGTGGCCGAGAGCGCGGACTTTTAACTTGTTATCCTGATACTGATTTGGCAATCGCAAAGAAGCTAATAGAGGCCAAGGGAATAAAGCAACTACCTGTGGTCAAGCATGGTGGAGAATTTCAAAGACAAAGAAAGCACAGAATTGTTGCCATTCTCTATTATGATTCAATCTGGAACTGTCTCAGGTTATCTTTATTTCTTGTTGATGATTATATAGTTTCGTATATTTGTTTGAATCCTTTGATACTTCTCGTCCTCGTTTTCAGAAATAGAAACTTCAAGATATGTCTTAGGTTAGCGGTGTTGAGTTTGCTCTCCCTCCCCGCACCCCCCCAAAGAGGCAACAAGTGAATATATCAAAATTCAAAATCTAACAATTTTTCATATTCAAAGGCTGAAAGAACTCCATATACTTCACACACGATTTGGTAGATCCCGATTGTTTTATCTACTACAAACAGATCCATATGGGTGAGTCATGGCTTTAGCTATGACTCAAATCAAATTAGTTTGCATCTTTTTAGTGAATTTTCAAGGTTGCACATCACAAGGACTTATTTTGTCCCCTTCAAATAAGACTAGATATATGGTTTGAGTATGTGACTGTAAATGTTTGTATGTCCTACTTTACTTTTCTTGTGCCCTTTTTTTTAATATATATATATATATATATATGTTTGAAGCAATTATCCTAATGGAACTTTGTCTTCTTGATTTCTCTATGTGCATGCAGAGAGGAGATCAATCACCTGCAATCAGTCTATCAGCAGAGAAAAGATGACAATCTTCAGGCAATAATTTCTAACGGTCACTAATGTAAACGATGGAATTGATTTTTGATGCTCAAAAGTTTGATTTCTGCCATAGGTGAAACCAATGTCGAAGTAAAGACAACAGTGGTCAATTTTGCAGCATCCAGATTGGTCAAAGTATATATATATATATATATATATATTTTTGGTGCATATTTTGAGAGTTGAGATCATTATAATGATGGATTATCTTGGTATCTGAAATTTCTTTATGTAATTAAGCACATTACGTTGAGTTTACTCCAAATTCAGTAGTTAATAGGAGAGGTGTTTGATTGAGAGAAAATGAGAATATGAATTATAGGTGTACTGGGAAAATTTGAGTTACGATCCTCTAGGTGGTGATTGGGTGTTTTTCATTTACAATTACAACAAAGATGAATTAAGGAACCTTCTATTTTGTATACCCAATTCATTGGCTCTTTGTATAATAAAATTTTTAGACTTGTACTTTATTATATGGTTATGAGAAATACAGATCTCAGTTCATTCTGCATTTTGTTTTTCTCCTTTTTCTTGTGGTGGTGGTGGTGGTGGTGCATGAGCCAACTATATGGTATTGAATTATACTCCATCCATTATAAATTGTTTGTCCAGTATAAAAAACAATGTTAAAGAAATTTTAAAAAATTATTTCTCATTTTATGTGCTGAACAGAATTTGAAACGGAGGTAATAGCTCTGAAGGGCATTCCAGTTGGTAAAAAGGTAAGCTCTCCACCTTAGATTTTCAATACATTTTTATAAGTATTGATTTCGATGACATGACATGACAATACATAATAATTATGAATAAAGAGTAGGACAAAGGGTGGGACAAATGATCTATACTCTGCTTGGACAATTTGCTATCAAACATGAGTGGTCGCACACAGATGAAGATTCTCCATTAAAAAGAAAAAAGAGAGGGAGACAGAGTGTGTGTAAAATGTGGAAAATCTTATAATAAAATGGAAAACTATAGCTCATTTGTTTAAAAAAAATAAAAAATCAAAGAATCAATACCAAAATTCGTCACCAATGAAGATACCCATTCAAATATAGAAAGTTAAACGTTTCTACTTTCCTTTCTTGAAGACAAAAAAATAGAAAGTCATATATGAGGACCTAATGGTAGCCTACTCATAATTTGATTATAAACCAATGACGATGATCCATTGGTGAGGTTCAGGTGAGGCTCCGACATAGGCTCCATCTTAGGTTCTCCTTTCGACAACATGAACCCCATTTCACTCATCGGGCATTGCTGTCCTCCCATATATGGGTTAGGACCCAACCCGGCCATTGCCAGATTGGCAAAGCCGGGTTGGTTCATCCCAAAGGCATATCCATGGGGCGGTCCTGGTCCCGGTCCCATCTGCTGCCTTTCAGGTAGGCCAAATGAAGGAGGCCTATCGAATCTAGCCATGTTGTTGTGAACTTGAGAAGGCTCGGACCTGTGAAGATGGGTCGGAAACCGCCGGTTTGGGAAGGCCCATTGCTAGTGGTGCCAGAGTTACCATGGCTGCTGCTCCGGGCTGCGGGAACATCGTGATTGTGCTTACCCTCGTAAGTAGTGATCACCGACTTGAGGTCATGCGATGCCCGCTCCACATGCTTCCTCACCGTGCAGCCAGCATTCGTGCACTTATAGTAACTCCTGCATCAAAAACAGCAACAAAATTGTTTCTACTTCAGCAATGCAGTTTCAGAAATGTTTCAGAAATACAAGGAAAATGAGAGAATAATTTTTATCTTCTCTTCTATATTTCTCCTTCTCTTCTTTCTAGTGTCTCAGATTCTCTAACAAATTTAAGTTTTTTTTTCTTTATTCTCATTTCTCAAATTATTTCTTTTGACAAAAAGATGTAAATAGAAAAAAAGGCTGGGACTTGCCTCCAGTCCACCATCTCTGGAAGGGAGGATCCAGTCTGGCCCAATGGGTCCACTTTGGGTCCCTTTTTGATAATCCGAACCGTTCACATTTTAGGATTTGTTGAGTATATTATCCCTGTAAAAAATCACGTTGATCGGATAACAGATACTATGTATTCAGATCACTTTATTATGAATCATTAATTTTCTGACCGTCCATTTTTTTCAGACAAAAGTGAACCGAATATATAATATTTGTTATCCGATCGACGTGATTTTTTAAAAGAATAATATACTCAACAAACCCTAAAATGTAAACGGTTCAGATTATGGAAAATGGACCCAAAAGTGGGCCCAATGGACCGAACTGGACTGGACTGTCCAGATCTGGACTGGAGACAGTCTGGACCCAAAAATAACCATTTTTAGTTACTTAATAGGTGATCAAAACAACTCATTGTTTCAATGTGTTTTGTAATGTTTTGATGCATTTTTGTTTCAGTAGAAACAATAGAATTTTGATATTCCACTAATGTTTCGTTTCGGTTTTCCATGAAACTGACATGTTTCGACTGCTTTGATGGAAAAGAAATGAAATTTTGTTCCTTAGTGAGAGACAACTATGAACATGAAGATTATGAGATGACCTCGGATTTGGATTTCCTTTCACAACTTTCTGCCCGTACTTGCGCCAACGATACCCATCGTCAAGGATATCCACCTCGCTTGTTGTTTGAACCACAACCCTTGGCTCCCTAATAGCTCTGGCAGCCCCACTCATTTCTGTTGCGTACGCTTCGATTTTCCTGTAAAAAAAATAGAAGATATTACATTGACCAACTCACCTCAACATTATAGCAAACATTGAGATTACAAAAAAGAGTGAGACCCCCTTTCCAAGGGACCCCCACGACCCCCTTTGCCTTTTGATTGGTTGAAATTGTTTTTTTTTTTTTTTTTTCTTCTCTCTCACTCACCAACCCCCACATGTCTGTGGGGGTGGTGGGGGTGGGAATATGAGGGGGTCCTAATCACAGCTCCATTGATTAAGTGTATGACAAAGAAATGGAATAACCTTCTCTTCGAGTCGGATTCATCTCCTTCACCATCATACCCTAACGATACACTGCCATGTGTCCCTCGATCATCTTCGTCTTCTTCATTAGAAAAAGTAGAAGAGGCGTCCACAGCATCACCCAACTCAAAGTGAGTGCTGTTCTGGCCCGGCACAGTGTTAGGTCCATTTGAGTACTCACCACCCATAGACGCTGATGAAGTCGCCTCAAGATTATCATGCCTCCAGTCGGGAGAGCCCTTTTGCATGGTTGTCCAAATTGAATCAACATCGGGCCCGTTTTGATCACCAATGTTGAGTTGTATATCTGTTAGTGGATTTGCAGATCCAATGGCTGATCTGCGATTGGGCGGAGGTTTGGAATGATTGTGGGTCCCCTTGTATATGATCTCTGTAATGTGGCCCTCGGGAGATCGTTCAACCTTCTTCTTAACTGGACAATTAGGATGTGTGCATTTGTAATAACTTCGTGGATACTCGCTCCCTTTTACTTGTTTTTGTCCATATTTTCTCCAATTATACCCATCATCGGACGGGGCTCCACCAACCACAGCATCTCCACCGCCTCTTTGATCAGCATCCTCATCTTGTGGCTCATCAAGTGGCGGTGAATGTTCGGCATTGCCACTGACAATATCAACAGCCCTTGGCTCCGACATGACAGTGTTACCCGATGCATCCTTTTTACCGGATGTTCTAGACAAGTCAGTGTGAAGATGGAGTGTGGATCCGTTTTGAGACGGTACTTTAGAAGGTTCTGTACTTTGAGACTGACGAGAGTTCTCTGGCTGAACGGAAACCTCAATACTAGGAAAGATTTTCTGAGGAAAATTTGATGAACTCATCTGTACATGTAAAGGCAAAATATACTTAAAAGAACAAAAAAACATGTTAACAAGCCAAGTCAATCCCAGTATAGGTTGGTCAAGCTTTGATCTGAAAACAAAATGAGTTTTAAAATATGTTCAAAATTAGCTTGTTTACATAACGAATGAACACAAGTTGAGCTCGAGTAAATTGACTTTTTATAGTGCATGTAAACTTACCAAACCTAGTAGTTAGTAAGTTGTTCAAGTTTGACTTGAAAATTTTACAAGTTTTAAAATATGTTCAAGTTTGACTTGTTTACATAACAAGCAGATCTCGAATGAATTTTAATGAGATGAACATGAGTTGAGCTCCAATAGTTTAGTTCGTTTTACAGTCCTAACAGAAAATGGATAATTCTTGATAGGATACGTGTCACCCATTACTCTGTTTGGTGTGTAGCTGCGTCATGTGGATATGTGTGCCATCTGTGATTGTGTGAAGAAGAGAGTTCTAACACGACTAAAATTTTTTGTTTCTTTTTCCCGAGGTTGAAATGTAGAAGAGAATTTCAAAAGCATACTTACTTTGCTTGCAACACCAAAAAAATGAAAGGGACTCGATTCTGCAACAGGCTTGAATGCAAATGATGAGGTATTGATGTCTTCGTAGAAATTTTTATTTTTATTGTGGGCGTTTGTGATCAAGGTAGAGCTTCTGCTGTAACCCCCTGAGCCAAATGGGATTTTTCCCGTTGTTGGAGATGGCTGAACCTGCATAAACTAGTGAATATGAAGTACAGATACTCCAAAATGGTCCCTATACGCGTGTCGGATACGTATCGGATACAGATATGCGTCCAATACGACGGGATACGTATCAAATACGGCAAAGAAGTATCTCAATTTTTATTTTTATTTTTTTGAATTTTAGATACGTTTGGGATACGTGAGGATACTTCAGGGATACGCTTGGGATACTTTCGAGATACGGCGAAATATTTTTAAAAACTTATAATGGGTCCAAGTGTAAAATAACAAAAGTAATCTAAAATAAAACAAAAAAATCAACCAAGCCCTAGCTCAAGGTTCGCTAATAGCAGTGAGGAGGAGGAGGAGAAGGAGGAGTCTCTATCGTCTCTATCGCAAGGTTCGTGAACAGCAGCAAGGAGTCGATCAAGGTTCGTCCTCTCCCTCTCCCTCTCGCTCCCTCTCTCTCTCTCTCTGTCCCTCTCGCTCAATCTCACTCACTCTCTCTCTCTCCCTCTCGCTCTCGCTCGATCTCTCTGTCCCTCTCGCTCAATCTCACTCACTTTCTCTCTCTCTCCCTCTTGCTCAATCTCACTCTCTCCCTCTCTCACTGTACTAACCCCTTTGAATTTCTTTTTTTTTTTGCAGCTAAGCTAAGCTACTATAAGGTATTTTTTTTTATCATTGAAAGGGTAAATTTTTTTCCCCCTTAATTTGAATTGCATTATGATTGTTATGGGTGATGCTATATTGTTGGAATTGCTAAAATTTAATTGAATTGCTGAATTTTTTTTTTTTATGTTCATGCCAAAAGATAACTACATTAATGTTTTGTTTTATTTCTTTACCAAATTTATAAATTTTAGGAAATGAGTTCAGGTATGGGAAGTTTAGGTTCAACAAGTGGTACACCAATGGAGGAAGATGATCATGCTCCTCTTTGGTGTTATGTTACAAAACTGGAAAAAATGGAAAA